TTATAAGTAGCTGTGACAACATATAGTGTGGTGGTAATTGTATGTTTAGTATTACACTTCATGAACAGCTGTGACAACATATAGTGTGGTGGTAATTGTATGTTCAGTATTACCCTTTATGAATGTAGAACGAGCTGTGTCCCATGTCTTCACCTATCTGTTGTTCTAACGCTAGGGGAACATGTACCTCATCTCAACCGTTCAAGTCGTTATGTTCCGGCGAATATATGGCAGTAACTAGAGAAGGTAGGCCTGTACAAGTCACTCGGGACACTCAGCTTCACAGTCGTAACCACTGGAAGTGTCCAGTAGGTTGGGCCCATATTGTTGTTTCTCGCCTTGAGGGTACAATGTGAGCTGGGGGCTTCTTCAACAACTACAAGTAACAAACGTATATCAGAGCACTTCTTTCCGTGAACAACACACACACACAACAACAGCAAAAAAACAAATAAACATATTATCATTGTATCATCGTTGTTTTTAACTATAATGTCATCTTTGACATGTAGATGTTTTGATATTTCAGACAAAAAGTATCGGCGGAACTCAGATGTGGCTGATCGTGACAGAGAAGCAGCGTATTATCTGAAAGTATCGGTAGATCTCAGATGTGGCTGATCGTGACAGAGAAGCAGCGTATTATCTGAAAGTATCGGTAGATCTCAGATGTGGCTGATCGTGACAGAGAAGCAGCGTATTATCTGAAAGTATCGGTGGAACTCAGATATAACTGATCGTGACAGAGCAGCAGCGTATTTTAGAAAGTATCGGCTGAACTCAGATGTGGCCCGGCCATCGCAGAATCAGTTATAATTCTTCAGCTTCGATAAAAAAACACTCGCTGTCAAAGATCTGTTAAAGATCCCCCCAGTGAAAGAAACATGACATAAATTGCCGTGCAAAAGAAAGCATACACCCATGTTTGATGGTGGCAGAACTTAACAAACAGGAAATGGTTATTCGGTGGCGATATCTTTGATACGGGTATCAAGGGTTTTTTACCTTAAGTTTGCAGTGTTTCTGATACTGTTTTCATCCCAAAAACGTTGGTAATGTTTTAGTCAATTTTTAAGAGTAAACCTTCCTTTGCCCGGCAGTTTATGAACATTTTCATACAACAAAGAAACGACAAAGATATTGAGTCATCTTAGAATACCTGGCTTAGTGGAAGTGACAGATCTAAACTAAAGCTTCCGTCATGGGGTCTTTTCTGATAAAACCCTGATAAGTCTATCTAATACACTTCTTCAAAACACGCGAGCGCATTCTTCGCATATATACTGTTGGCTTGGGACGGGTCTCGCTACAGGAATTCCCCTGCCAAATTAATTCACATATTCAACGTTGTACAGAAAGGTGGGTCGTATGCTTCCTGGCTCCGTACGAGACATCTGCAGCGGCTTCTCACTAATAGCCCTACTTAACACATATTGCCACATATTTAATTCTCAAGCAGGTTTGTTTACAGCGGGAATGTGCACGAGGTGGGTGTCGACTGGGCGTGTCGGTCGACACGCTGCCAAGAATGCCAGCGAGCGTCAGTCAGCCACGGTTCAGACTACACACCGAGAACCAGGAACACACTGCCGGCAAATACTTCCATAAAACTGCACATTACCGGCAAATACTTTCCTAATAACCTACACGAAAGAACATCGAGGAAATTATTTTGTTAATCTTCCAATGCACAAAAACTGCGTGTGTTTCTTTTAATAGTTCCGCTGGCATGTTTTGGCACTGACAAGAATTGAGTCTTGATTTAGACCCTGTCGTGGTCGTTTTTCTACGATTACGTAATTACAATACAAGCGACTGTTCCACGTGAAGTTCCCTGGCTCACATCAACGTTCTATTTAGTGATAACCGAAAAACATCATGTGTTCTAATCGGGTCAGTATAGGAACTAGAATCTCGACCAAACTGCAATAACGGTTTGGAGGAGTAGGATACTTTAACAGGCAAACAGAAGGGGATATTTAATTCGGGCGCAAAAGATTCCCATTGAATTTTTTGGGTTTTTGTTTATTCCAGCTATATTATCGAATTTCCACAGACAATCCAGTGATTGACATTGTGAACATCAACCGAGTCAGCAAGCCTGTCCACCCGATCCCGTTAGTCGCATCTTACGACAAGCATGGGTTGCTGAAGACCAATTCCTACCCGTATGTTTACGGGGGTGAGTGAATGTTGTTTAGAGGCGCAAATGCCAGATGTGAAACGAAGAGTCCGTAAATAATCGAGCCTGGGTCAGAGAATTGGTTGTTGATACCACGAACAACGATCAAAGCACCTCATACAATCATCCAGGTGACACTTTAACTCTCGTCAGTAGGCTCAATGAGACATATTGTACCGAGAACCACTTCCAGATGAGAATCCCTCGGAGCACCAGATTCTGAAGCTGTGAAAACAACACACACGCACGCACGCACGCACGCACGCACGCACGCACGCACGCACGCACGCACGCACACTAACACATTCACACATGGTGTCAAATGCCCGCTTAAGTACCGGAGTAGCCTTGCTTCTAGGCTGTACTGAATGATAAGCCCATGGGTGTACAATAATTCTATCGTTATTAGAGGCAAGTCTAGATACGTGGACAGTACTCTAGGGACCCCAGTCTCTTATAGGGACAACTTGTTCTTATTATTTATATAATCCTGAAATTATGACTTAAACTATTTTTTGTCTTAGAGACTTGTGCAAGTCTTGTGTCGGTGTTTCATCAATCTTTGTTAGATGTCACTCCGCGTGGGGATCCCGGGTTACACCAGGTTCCCAGGTCAACCTATGCTGGTCGTAAGAGGCGACTGTGTGGACTGCATGGTCAGGCAGAGTGTCCTTGTTAAAGTGTGCTATCATAATATGAATCACTGAATTGCCTGGGTCTGATTCGATTAGTTTCAGGATGCCGTCATATTGCTCGAATATTGAATAGTGCGGCGTAAAACAACCTAACCTTCAGGTCGAGCCATTTGGGTGTCCTTGCTCCGCGGCATAGTGAATAAATATTGTTTGGAGCATATTTTGAATACCACACGTTTCAATACATCAGGTTTAATGTTCTTTGGTATTTTAAGTAAAGCAGGTACAGATGACCTGACTTGACCTCGTCACGTGACACAAGGTTGTACCTGCATATTCAAAAACACTTTGTACTTTGGAAAGTATTTGATAGATATAGATATGGTTAAATATAGAATAGCATTGACTAAATAAAGATTAAGTTGGCATAATATTATGATGAAAGAGGAAGATGGTTCGCTTTTAAGTTACAGCTTGGTGAAAGACTTTCCTCCTTTTGCAGTCATGATATTGAGGATGAATGCCATGTTATAATGGTATGCTGAGGTTTGGCGTTAAACAAGAAACAAACAATATTATATAAAATATGTGTTACATGTATGACTAATCTTTATTATACGTGACATATGTTATCTAATTAATATCAGTACGGCGTTTTAGGGCTTAATAACATGTTTATCTCATCTCGTCATGACTAAACAAAGTGGACATTTTCACTCGTGGCTTCGAAAATAGCAACTGTTTCAGGTAACTGGATGAAGGGAAGATATCATTAGACAAGATTAGCCACGTATCATGGCTGTATGTTAGGATAACCTACTTGTACGTGACTTATCTTGACATTAAGGGGTACCTGTTCCTGGGAACTAAAAGTGATCGGGACTCCGTTGATTAACTAGGAAGTTCTTCTCTAGATATTACTGATGGCCAAAAAGTCGATGTCGATATTCCGCCTATTTCAATATAGTCGTTTCATATAAACATACTTATTATGTTTCTTTATTCCTCGAAACGCAAATACAGCGGTACACTGTCGGACAAAAGAAAGTATACACTCTTGTTTCATGGTGGCTAAAAGGAAACGAAGAGAAATGGTAATTCCATGGTGATATATTTGATACGGGTTTCGGAGCCTGTTTTCAACCTAGTAACGTTTTGACACTGTTTGTAAATTTTTTGGTGAAATCTAAATTTAATGTTGAAGTGTATACGTTCCTTTGCCGGGCAGTTTAGTACATACGCTCTAAAAGTGTGCCCAGCTGTCTACCCCCCATCACCCCCACCCTCACCCCCACCCCCACGCCATACACTAACGCCTCCTTTCACCCCTTCAGCGCGACACTTGGCGGCGGGACAGACACACTGACATACCCAAGGGAGCCATGCATCCATCTTCACTACAGCAACCATCCTCTCCATCTGGAAAATGCATTAAGGGAAGAGCTGGCCTTTACTTACTAATATACACGTCAGCTCTGTACTCTCAGGCTACGTGTCAGGAATCAACTCTAATACTGGACGCGCTCCGTCACCCAGGGGAGTGGGTCTGTTGAGAAGTCACCGTGTCAGATGTCGTGGTGGTAGGTCACATACCATCACCACGCCGCCTATGTTCGATAGACCGCCCCCGTGGTCTAGTGTCTGTCCGGAGAGCGAAAGGTCCGGGGTTCGATCCCCGGTCGCTTCATTCAACAAAAGAGCGTTAAAAGATGGTACTTGTTGTTACCCTGCCTGGCGCTAGGGGCTAAAACAAGGACTGTTCGGCTTGGAGTCAGGATACTGTGTCTCAGTAGGGTATTCATGTTAAACTGAGGCTAGCACTATAAAATCGGCATCAGTCCGGACTAGAACAAGCAGCCACACACACACACACACACACACACACACACACACACACACACACACACACACACACACACACACACACACACACACACACACACACACACACACACACACACACACACACTGGGTGCATATCAGTATATAAGTCCCACGTCATGGACACGACGTTAAACCCCATTTCACCTCACCTCACCTCCGTTCAATGCCCTGACTTGTGGACAGGTGGCGAGTTCATTGACCTTCATATTGTCACGATTCTCTCATTTACTAATTGACGCAAACACGACGAGGCATATCCTGCACGACATCAGGACACAGAGAGCATTAATAACTTATCCATGGTGGGTTCAGCCCGCAATCAGCTCTGTGGCAGTGTCAGTTGTCATCCCTGCCATCAGACCTCTCAGTCCCACGTCTCAGTCCCACGTCTCAGTCCCACCTCTCACGTCACAGTCCCACGTCTCACGTCTCAGTCCCACGTCACAGTCCCACGTCTCAGTCCCACGTCTCAGTCCCACCTCTCACGTCTCAGTCCCACGTCTCAGTCCCACCTCTCAGTCCCACGTCTCAGTCCCACGTATCAGTCCCACATCTCAGTCCCACGTCACAGTTCCACGTCACAGTCCCACGTCTCAGTCCCACGTCTCACGTCTCAGTCCCACGTCTCAGTCCCACCTCTCAGTCCCACGTCTCAGTCCCACCTCTCACGTCTCAGTCCCACGTCTCACGTCTCAGTCCCACGTCTCAGTCCCACGTCTCAGTCCCACCTCTCAGTCCCACGTCTCAGTCCCACGTATCAGTCCCACATCTCAGTCCCACGTCACAGTCCCACGTCACAGTCCCACGTCTCAGTCCCACGTCTCGTGTCTCAGTCCCACGTCTCAGTCCCACGTCTCAGTCCCACGTCTCAGTCCCACGTCTCAGTCCCAAGTCTCAGTCCCACTTCTCAGTCCCACGTCTCAGTCCCACGTCTCAGTCCCAAGTCTCAGTTCAACGTCACAGTCCCACGTCACAGTCCCACGTCTCACGTCTCAGTCCCACGTCTCAGTCCCACGTCTCAGTCCCACGTCTCAGTCCCACGTCACAGTCCCACGTCACAGTCCCACGTCTCAGTCCCACGTCTCACGTCTCAGTCCCACGTCTCAGTCCCACGTCTCAGTCCCACGTCACAGTCCCACCTCTCAGTCCCACGTCTCACGTCTCAGTCCCACGTCTCAGTCCCACGTCTCAGTCCCACGTCACAGTCCCACCTCTCAGTCCCACCTCTCAGGCCCACTTCTCAGTCCAACGTCACAGTCCAACGTCACAGTCCCAAGTCTCACGTCTCAGTCCCACGTCTCAGTCCCACGTCTCAGTCTCACGTCACAGTCCCACCTCTCAGTCCCACGTCTCACGTCTCAGTCCCACGTCTCAGTCCCACGTCTCAGTCCCACGTCACAGTCCCACCTCTCAGTCCCACCTCTCAGACCCACTTCTCAGTCCAACGTCACAGTCCAACGTCACAGTCCCAAGTCTCACGTCTCAGTCCCACGTCTCAGTCCCACGTCTCAGTCCCACGTCACAGTCCCACCTCTCAGTCCCACGTCTCACGTCTCAGTCCCACGTCTCAGTCCCACGTCTCAGTCCCACGTCACAGTCCCACCTCTCAGTCCCACCTCTCAGTCCCACGTCTCAGTCCCACATCACAGTCCCACCTCTTAGTCCCACGTCTCAGTCCCACGTCTCAGTCCCACGTCACAGTCCCACGTCTTAGTCCCACGTCACAGTCCCACGTCTCAGTCCCAGTCCTACGTCTCAGTCCCACGTCTCAGTCCCACGTCACAGTCCCACGTCCCAGTCCCAGTCCCAGTCCCAGTCCCGTGTATAACGTGTATAATGACCTGTAGTTGTGTCAGTTTTACTTGTTTAAAATCCACGTTCAGAAGAATCCAGTGAATTCCTGGCTCGGAATCAGCTGCGAGTTCAATGACGTGACGTCGTGATCATGGTTTAACTGACGTTATTTAATGTTAATGGGTTTAGCGTTGAGGCACGCTGGTTAGTGTGTATATAGTGTATAGTGTGTAGGTCATGGGTATCAGACACGCTGGTTAGTGTGTATATAGTGTTTAGTGTGTAGGTCATGGGTATCAGACACGCTGGTTAGTGTGTATATGTATATAGTATATAGTGTGTAGGTCATGGGTATGAGACCCGCCGGTTAGTGTGTATATAGTGTTTAGTGTGTAGGTCATGGGTATCAGACACGCTGATTAGTGTGTATATAGTGTATAGTGTGTAGGTCATGGGTATCAGACACGCTGGTTAGTGTGTATATAGTGTTTAGTGTGTAGGTCATGGGTATCAGACTCGCTGGTTAGTGTGTATATAGTGTTTAGTGTGTAGGTCATGGGTATCAGACACGCTGATTAGTGTGTATATAGTGTTTAGTGTGTAGGTCATGGGTATCAGACACGCTGGTTAGTGTGTATATAGTGTTTAGTGTGTAGGTCATGGGTATCAGACACGCTGGTTAGTGTTTATATAGTGTATAGTGTGTAGGTCATGGGTATCAGACCCGCTGGTTAGTGTGTATATAGTGTATAGTGTGTAGGTCATGGGTATCAGACACGCTGGTTAGTGTTTATATAGTGTTTAGTGTGTAGGTCATGGGTATCAGAGACGCTGGTTAGTGTGTACATAGTGTTTAGTGTGTAGGTCATGGGTATCAGACACGCTGGTTAGTGTTTATATAGTGTTTAGTGTGTAGGTCATGGGTATCAGACACGCTGGTTAGTGTTTATATAGTGTTTAGTGTGTAGGTCATGGGTATCAGACACGCTGGTTAGTGTGTATATAGTGTATAGTGTGTAGGTCATGGGTATCAGACCCGCTGGTTAGTGTGTATATAGTGTTTAGTGTGTAGGTCATGGGTATCAGAGACGCTGGTTAGTGTGTACATAGTGTTTAGTGTGTAGGTCATGGGTATCAGACCCGCTGGTTAGTGTGTACATAGTGTTTAGTGTGTAGGTCATGGGTATCAGACCCGCTGGTTAGTGTGTATATAGTGTTTAGTGTGTAGGTCATGGGTATCAGACACGCTGGTTAGTGTGTATATAGTGTTTAGTGTGTAGGTCATGGGTATCAGACACGCTGGTTAGTGTGTATATAGTGTTTAGTGTGTAGGTCATGGGTATCAGACACGCTGGTTAGTGTTTATATAGTGTATAGTGTGTAGGTCATGGGTATCAGACACGCTGGTTAGTGTGTATATAGTGTCTAGTGTGTAGGTCATGGGTATCAGACACGCTGGTTAGTGTGTATATGTATATAGTATATAGTGTGTAGGTCATGGGTATGAGACCCGCCGGTTAGTGTGTAAATAGTGTTTAGTGTGTAGGTCATGGGTATCAGACCCGCTGGTTAGTGTGTATATAGTGTTTAGTGTGTAGGTCATGGGTATCAGACACGCTGATTAGTGTGTATATAGTGTATAGTGTGTAGGTCATGGGTATGAGACCCGCCGGTTAGTGTGTATATAGTGTTTAGTGTGTAGGTCATGGGTATCAGACACGCTGATTAGTGTGTATATAGTGTATAGTGTGTAGGTCATGGGTATCAGACACGCTGGTTAGTGTGTAGGTCATGGGTAAATCATTGGAAAATGGCAACTATGCGTGTCGTAAGAGGCGACTAACGGGATAGGGTGGTCAGGCTTGGTGGATGCATGTCATCGTATCACAGTAGCATAGATCGATGCTCATGATATCAATCACTGGATTGTCTGGTCGGCACTCGATTATTTACACACCGCCGTTACATAGCTGGTTATATTGCTTCGTGTGGCGTTAAACAACAAACAACGACTGGCAACAACATCGGGTACTGGTCATGGGCTGTATGACGGAAGCCTAATATGGTCATGGGTTGTACGACGGAAGCCAAAGAGGGTCATGGGGTGTATGGCGGAAGCCACAGAGTGTCACTGGGTGTATGGCGGAAGCCACAGAGTGTCACTGGGTGTATGGCGGAAGCCACAGAGTGTCACTGGGTGTATGGCGGAAGCCACAGAGGGTCATGGGATGTATGGCGGAAGCCACAGAGGGTCATGGGCTGAATGACGGAAGCCACAGAGGGCCATGGGCTGAATGACGGAAGCCACAGAGGGTCATGGGATGTATGACGGAAGCCACAGAGGGCCATGGGCTGTATGATGGAAGCCACAGAGGGCCATGGGCTGTATGATGGAAGCCACAGAGGGTCATGGGCTGTATGATGGAAGCCACAGAGGGTCATGAGCTGTTTGACGGAAGCCACAGAGGGCCATGGGCTGTATGATGGAAGCCACAGAGGGTCATGAGCTGTTTGCCGGAAGCCACAGAGGGCCATGGGCTGTTTGACGGAAGCAACAGAGGGCCATGGGCAGTATGATGGAAGCCACAGAGGGTCATGAGCTGTTTGACGGAAGCCACAGAGGGCCATGGGCTGTATGATGGAAGCCACAGAGGGTCATGAGCTGTTTGCCGGAAGCCACAGAGGGCCATGGGCTGTTTGACGGAAGCAACAGAGGGCCATGGGCAGTATGATGGAAGCCACAGAGGGCCATGGGCTGTATGATGGAAGCCACAGAGGGCCATGGGCTGTATGATGGAAGCCACAGAGGGCCATGGGCTGTATGATGGAAGCCACAGAGGGCCATGGGCTGTATGATGGAAGCCACAGAGGGCCATGGGCTGTTTGACGGAAGCAACAGAGGGCCATGGGCTGTATGATGGAAGCCACAGAGGGCCATGGGCTGTATGATGGAAGCCACAGAGGGCCATGGGCTGTATGACGGAAGCCACAGAGGGCCATGGGCTGTATGACGGAAGCCACAGAGGGCCATGGGCTGTTTGACGGAAGCCATAGAGGGCCATGGGCTGTAGGACGGAAGCCACAGAGGGCCATGGGCTGTATGATGGAAGCCACAGAGGGCCATGGGCTGTATGATGGAAGCCACAGAGGGCCATGGGCTGTATGACGGAAGCCACAGAGGGCCATGGGCTGTATGACGGAAGCCACAGAGGGCCATGGGCTGTTTGACGGAAGCCACAGAGGGCCATGGGCTGTATGATGGAAGCCACAGAGGGCCATGGGCTGTAGGATGGAAGCCAAAGAGGGCCATGGGCTGTATGACGGAAGCCACAGAGGGCCATGGGCTGTATGATGGAAGCCACAGAGGGCCATGGGCTGTATGACGGAAGCCACAGAGGGCCATGGGCTGTATGACGGAAGCCACAGAGGGCCATGGGCTGTATGATGGAAGCCACAGAGGGCCATGGGCTGTATGATGGAAGCCACAGAGGGCCATGGGCTGTAGGATGGAAGCCACAGAGGGCCATGGGCTGTAGGATGGAAGCCACAGAGGGTCATGGGCTGTATGATGGAAGCCACAGAGGGTCATGGGCTGTATGATGGAAGCCACAGAGGGTCATGGGCTGTAGGACGGGGGCCACAGAGGGCCATGGGCAGTATGACGGAAGCCACAGAGGGCCATGGGCTGTATGACGGAAGCCACAGAGGGTCATTGGCTGTATGATGGAAGCCACAGAGGGTCATGGGCTGTAGGACGGGGGCCACAGAGGGTCATGGGATGTAGGACGGGGGCCACAGAGGGTCATGGGCTGTATGACGGAAGCCACAGAGGGTCATGGGCTGTAGGACGGGGGGCAAAGAGGGTCATTTGGTGTATGACGGAAGCCACAGAGGGTCATGGGATGTAGGACGGGGGGCACAGAGGGTCATTTGGTGTATGACGGAAGCCACAGAGGGTCATGGGATGTAGGACGGAAGCCACAGGGGGTCATGGGCTGTATGACGGAAGCCACAGAGGGTCATGGGCTGTATGACTAATTCCTGAGAGGGTCATTGGCTGTATGGCAGAAGCCACAGGGGGTCATGGGCTGTAGGACGGAAGCCACAAAGGGTCATGGGGTATAGGACGGAAGCCACAGAAGGTCATGGGATGTATGATGGAAGCCACAGGGGGTCATGGGCTGTAGGACGGGGGGCACAGAGGGTCATGGGGTGTATGACGGAAGCCACAGAAGGTCATGGGATGTATGATGGAAGCCACAGGGGGTCATGGGCTGTATGACGGAAGCCACAGAGGGTCATGGGCTGTAGGACGGGGGGCACAGAGGGTCATGGGGTGTAGGACGGATGCCACAGAGGGTCATGGGGTGTAGGACGGAAGCCACAGAGGGTCATGGGCTGTATGATGGAAGCCACAGAGGGTCATGGGCTGTAGGACGGGGGGCACAGAGGGTCATGGGCTGTAGGACGGGGGGCACAGAGGGTCATGGGCTGTAGGACGGGGGGCACAGAGGGTCATGGGCTGTAGGACGGGGGGCACAGAGGGTCATGGGCTGTAGGACGGGGGGCACAGAGGGTCATGGGCTGTAGGACGGGGGGCACAGAGGGTCATGGGCTGTATGACGGAAGCCTCAGAGGGTCATGGGCTGTATGGCGGAAGCCACAGAGGCTCATGGGCTGTATGGCGGAAGCCACAGAGGGTCATTGGCTGTATGGCGGAAGCCTCAGAGGGTCATGGGTTGGAGGACGGAAGCCACAGGCCATGGGGTCTCAGGTGGGGAGAACGCAGTCACTTCCAAATATAAGACATATTAACTCCATGTGTGGCCATACCAACACACAAGATTAATATATAGGAACATTTCCGTCTGTCCACTGATTGCAAGATAACTCACAGAGCCACATTATCCAGACTGAGACACAGGAAGGTCCCGGCAGGTGGCGCGTCTTGTCCCTCCTATGCAGATACTATTATTCATCCCGACATTAAAGCAGCAGCACATTGAAGTCAGTCATGGACACTACTGACCTCTTCACACACTTCCTCAACGGC